TTAGTTCCACAAATGAATTCTCCTTTCGACAAAAGAGAATAGGTTCTACTACCCTCCTCCCCCAGACTTCAAGACCACCTGGGAACCTATGTAAAACACAGGTTTCTGACCCAATGCCCATCTCATCTGTGAATTCATACTATCCAAGCCAAGTTTGTATCGGTTCCCTCCCGCCATCCTCTGCCCCAAAAAATATGCGCGCTTCCAGAAAACATACGTGTTCAAGAATCCCTTGCAAAAAACGGGACGAAGTGCGCACGCGCGCGTCGTCGCGCGCGCATGCCGGAATCCTTCAAAAACCGGTGGTTCCGGAACGATTTCAAAATCGAGTTCCCAAACAAACATACCACGATATAGGGTTTCGCAACAATGATTTTCTAGAAAAGCTAACGCGCGCGCTCTTGCGAAATCTTCAGGGAAATATCGTTTTCCAACATTTTCAAAACATACTACCAAATCGGCGTCGCGCGCGCATGTCGAAATCTTTCGGACGCCCTTGCGCGCGTGCCGTCGCGAGAATCCTCTGCCAAAAATGGGACGAAGTGCAGACGCGCGCGTTGCGCGCGCGCATGCCAAAATCCTTCAAAAACATGTGGTTTCGGAAGGATTTCAAAATCGAGTGTCCAACCAAAGTACAAAACCACAGGGTTTCGCAACACGGATTTTCATAAAAAAAACGTTCGCGCGCGCTCTGGCGTCGTCGTCGTCGTCGCCGTCCTCCCTCCTCCCTCGTCGTCGTCGTCGATGCCGTCGTCGCCGTCCTCTGTCTTTCCTCGTCGTCGTCGTCGTCGTCTTGGCGTCGTCGTTGTCGCCGTGGTCGTCCTTCCTCCCTCGTCGTTTTCGTCGGCGTTTCGTCGTTGTCCCTCCTATTTCGTCGCCGTCGTCGTCGTCGTCGTCTTCCCTCCTCCCTCGTCGTTGTCGTCGTCGGCGTCGCCGTCCGCCCTCCTTCTTCTCGTTCGCGTCGTCGCCGTCCTCCCTCCTCCATCGTCGTTGTCGTCGTTGTCGCCGTCATCATCCTCCCCCCTCCCTCGTCGTCGTCGTCTTCGTTGGCGACGTCGTCGTCGTCGTCTTCGTCGTCGTCGTCGGCGTCGTCGTCGTTGTCGTCGTCGGCGTCGCCGTCCGCCCTCCTTCTTCTCGTTTGCGTCGTCGCCGTCTTCCCTCCTCCATCGTCGTTGTCGTCGTTGTCGCCGTCATCGTCCTCCCCCTTCCCTCGTCGTCGTCGTCTTTGTTAGCGACGTCGTTGTCGTCGTCGTCGTCGTCTTCGTCGTCGTCGTCGTCGGCGTCGTCATCGGCGGCGGCGTCGGCGTCGTCGTCGTCGGCGGCGGCGTCGTCGTCGTCGTCGGTGTCGTCGTCGTCGTCGTCGTCGTCGTCGTCGTCGTCGTCGTCGTCGTTGTCGTCGTCGTCGAAGTCGTTGGAGACGTCGTCGGTGACGTCGTAGTCGTTGTCGGCGGCGGCGGCGTCGTCGTCGTCGTCGTTGTTGCTGACGTCGTCGGCGTCGGTGTCGCTGCCAAGTGCAATTTGGTACCCACCGTCACGGTCTTAAGAGGTCTTGCGACCAGGTTGCGGGTGGGAGGGTGGGATGTTTGCACGAGCAGTGGAGAGGCCAGCTTCAAGTTGAGCAATTGATTGATTGCACCACATAGGTCGAACCACGTTGATTGCTTGGGGCCCACGCTAGCTCAAAGAAGGAAATCTGCGCGGTGCAATCTACAAGTCTCGCACGCCCAAAACTGTAACCAAAATGCGGCGGCGACGTGTGGCGACGGCGATCACAAAGCGGCAGACCCGACAACGGAGCCCAGACGACGGGCGGCGACGGGGCGGCGACGGCGACCACAAGGCGGTGGATCCGCCAACTGAGCCCAGTTCCTCAGAAAACAAGTCAGATCCCCTGAGTACAAGCATTGTTAGGGGAAAAGTCTTGGGCGACGACCAGGGGAGGATGATGCGGCCAAGCGGCTTGGCAATGCCCTGTGTGGTCAAAGCGCCCCACGGAGAAGTGGACGAGTCAAGGCAAGTCCCCCCGTGCGCACGGAGGCGGGCCCACAGAGGACGCGAGGGGAAACCCGGCAGTCAACGCATCTGCCCCTTCGGGAGCAGAGTTCAAAAACCTTCCAACAACCTTCCTGGGGAAGGTGTTAGGAAGTTTCCAGGACGTTTTTTTTCCACAAACCTTCCAACAAGCTTCCAACAACCTTCCTGAGGAAGCTTTCAGGGAGGTAAAACATTCGCCAGACTATTCCCGAGTCGTCGTTGCCGTCGAGACCGCCAGGCCACCGCCAGCGACCCAGACCAGAAGCAAAACGATCTGCTTCTTTTTTTTGTCTGGCCACATTAGGCTCCGGGGGGGGACGCCTCGGCCCCCCGCCGCCCATGGATCGCAGACATGGGGCCCGGCAGCCTGCCCTCCGCAGGACCGTTCGGAGGTGCGCTCGGGGGTCTCTCGCCGATCCATCGGCGACGTGTCGCCGATGCCAGCTCGAGGTTTCCAGCCCTCGGCCAGTCCCTCCTTTTATTATCGCCCCCCTGCGAGAAAGGACACACTGCAGAAACATATAAACGTTCCGAGGTCCCGGCGGGTCTCTGGGATCGGCGCTGGGCCCCCTCCGGGGGCTGCCCCACCCGGCGTGCGGCGCTCGCCAAGGGGGAGCCGTTCGCCTCCTTAGGAGGCGACGCGCAGTAGCGGGGCCTTTCACTGGAGCGACCCCTTTTGAGGTGCGGGCCAACGCCAAGGTCTCCGACGCGATCCGACTTTGTTCGGTCTTGGCTTCTCGACGCGGGGAAAAAGTAACCTCGTCGGATGTCTGGGCAGGTGGCTTCAGGCATCCCAGATGTCGCTGGAGAAGTTTGGGTCGGAGGATCGCGCCGCATCGCCGGTGCATCGGGGATGCGGCTCGATTTGGAGCCGGACTGTCTCCGCGCCGACATCGCCGATGCATCGCCGACGTCGCCGATGCATCGTCGATAAATCGGCAACGCGGTGGGATCATCCGACCCCATTCAGTCGACCCCGTTTGGGAGGCCTCCTGCGACGCGTTTCAAAGGAGGCATCGCCTTCGGGATTCAAACACTGTGCGGTTTACGCCTTGGCAGAAGCTCGGCGCAAGCCGGCGGAAATGAACGCGAGACGTCCACACGTTTGGAGTCGACAGCGTGTCTTCCCGGCAAAATTGGCCTTTTCCTGAGGTTGGCTTAGGTTTTCGATGTGGCAAAAATTCCCAGCGTTGGCTTGCCTGAGGTTTTCCTTAGGTTTTCGATATGCAGTCGAGGTTCAACTTATGGAGGATGGGGGCCTCGTTCCTTATTGAGGGTTCCTTGAGTCAACGCCTCGACGGTAAGTGAAAAGGGGCAGGCCTTCTCAGCAGACGGCTGGGCTTCTGAGAAGCCCTGAGGCCTTCTGAGAAGTGTCTTGTTTCTTCGGGGTCCGGCTGAGGACATTTCTCAGAAGGCCCGAGGCCTTCCGAGCCTTCTGAGAAGGCCCGCCCCTTCTTACTTCACCCCCAGGCGCGCCGCCGAGTGTAGCCGGTCCTTGGGAGCGAGACGACGACGACCTCGATGACGACGACGACGACGACAACCGACGACGACGACGACGACGACGACGACGACGACGACGACGACGACGACGACGACGGCCTTGATGACGACGACGACGACAACCGATGACGACGACCTCGATGACGACGACGACGACCACGACCGAGGGCGCAGGTGTTTGTTGACGTTCCCGCGGAGGCGCCTCCGCAGGGGCCTCTGCGGAGGGCCTCCGATCGGGGAGGGCCCAGAGGCGCGATCGGGGAGGGCCCAGAGGCGCCCGGGAGGAGAAGGAGGAGGAGGAGGAGGACGAGGAGGAGGAGGAGGAGGAGGAGGAGGAGGACGACGGTGTGTGTGCGCGTGTGCTTACAACCCTGGCGGGGTCTCTCCGGGCCACTCCTGGGTCCCAGGGGGGCCAGCGAGGATGGATCCGAGACGCTTAACTAAAACACCGGCGAGGCCGTCGATTGAAGCAGAAGCACCATCGTCTGGGGAGAGGGGCAAGGAGGAGGAGGAGGAGGAGGAGGAGGGAGGCAACGAGGAAGGAGGAGGGAAGAGGAGCAGAAGGACAGATGCAAGGCGAAGGGGGGAGGAGGACGAAGAAGAGAGGGGGAGAAGGAGGAGGAGGAGGAGGACGAGGAGGAGGACGAGGAGGAGGAGGAGGAGGAGGAGGAGGAGGGGAGGAGGACGGGGATGAGCCTCTTCTTGCCTCCCTCCTCTCCCCGCCCCTCTTCCTTCGGGCTCCCTGGACGGCGAGCTTTTCTCCTGGGCGGGGGGGGTTGTCGCTGGCCTGACGGCGCGGTTGGCTCCGGGCCACACTGTGGAGGCAACAGGGTCCTCTCCGATTTGCGCCCCCCTCCCGGGGTGTTTTCAGCGGCACCCTCGGACCTCCCCCTCTTCTCTCTTCGGGCGATCACAAACGTGGATCAAGGGGGCGTGGATTAGCGACATGTCTCATTGCCATGGGAGAGCGCGGATTTCTGCCGCCGAGCGAGGCGGCACCGGCCGCACTCTGTGGAGGGCACCTCCCCCGATGCATGGATCTGGCGACCGCGCGCCAAATCCATGGATCGCTCGTGGAGGCACATGCCAAGAGACCACCCCGCTTGCCTCCACGGTGCCCTGGGCCTCTTGGGTTTCGATGGGTCTGCTGTGGACGGCGTGACGCCCCCACAGAAAGAGTCAGCGGACGTCCTGGGGTCTCAGGTTTGGGTTTCTCGTGGACGGTTTCCTGTGGTCGGGCCCCTACAGTCGGGGCCTTAAGAAGGAACCCTTTTCGTTGGGGAGGGGCTCCGCGTTCCTTAAGTGTTTCGCGGCTTGCCTCAGGTTTTCCTTCTGTTCTCGATAGGGAATCGGAGTTGAACTTATGGAGAAAAGTGGCCTCGTTCCTTATTTAGGGTTCCTTAGGTCAACGCCCCGACTGTACTGCAGTCGCGTGCGATCCTTCGGGCTCCCCGCGGCGAGAGGACTGCATGGGCCCCATGCAGCAGCAGCTCGTGCGCCTGCGGGAGACCGCCCGGAACTGGCGCGAGGGGTTGCTGCGCCTCGGCCCCAGCGAGGCTACGAGCGCGACCACCCCCCCCGCCAGCGCACGCGCACAGGGGCGGGGCGCTGGGGAGGGTCAGACCTGGGCAGCCCACGCGGCAGGGATAGGATCCACGGTGCTCCTCCTCTTCCTCCTCATTCCTCCCTCCTCCCTCCCTCCCTCCCTCCCTCCCCCTCCTCCTCCTCCGTAGCCATTTTGGCTCAAGGCTAAACGGAGAACGCTAAAGTGACATAGCTGACTCTGATTAGCTTTGGGAAGCTTCCGTCCTCATTCTCGAGCGGCGGGGCCTGAGGTTCGCGACCTCACCAGCTTTCGGGGCCCGCGGGCTCACCTAACTACGAGTTACACACACCAGCCATGCACGACGGCCGCCCACGCGGGCAGCCGCCCGGCTGGAGCACCAAAGGACGAGTGGGCGGAGGCGGCGGCGGCAGCGGCAACAGCCAGCGGCCCCCTGGGGCCGTCCCGCCCTGGCGTGCAGCCGCGGTTGAGGGTGCGCCCATCGGCCTTCGCAAGCCCTTCTGGGGCTGCGCGTGCGGGGAGGCGACCAATTGGGCCTGCCGCAGCCATTGCCGGGGTTGCGGCCGCGCTGCTCCTCTGGCTGTGCGGCAGCGTGCCATGGAGGCCGCGCGCGCCGCTCAAGCCGAGGTGCCGCCCAGCAAGCGAGTCCATCGTGGGGCCTCCCAGGCAACAGGGAAGGGTGGCGGCAAGGGCGCGGCTGCCGCGGGCGGCCGGGCGGCCAAACCCGCTGCGGGGGCCGACTCCGGCCCCGCCGGCGAAGACGCCATGCTCCTCGAGCGTCTGCGCGGTCTTGGCATCGAGCTTACGGCCGAGCAGCAGGCCAAGCTGCCACAGCCCCCACCGGCCGCTGAGCGGGCCCGCCCTGCGCCCACGCCGCAGTCCCGCTTGCAGCGTGCCCTCTGGCGGCAGGGCGACCGCCGCAAGGCCTTCGAGCGGGCCGAGGCAGCCCGCGCGGCGGCTGCAGCACAGGTCGAGGAGGCCAATCGGCTGCTGCATGAGGCGGACGACCGCCTGGCAGCGACCCGGCTGGCACTGGAGGAGGCCAAGGAGGAGTATTCGGCGGCGCTGCAGGCGGCCGGCCGTCCAGCGACTTCGCGCTGGGACCAGCCGCCGCCACGGGTCAAGGCGATCGCCGAGACCATGCAGGCGATGGAGGTCATGCGCTCCAGCTTGGAGTTGGAAGGCAACGCCGAGCTGCACTACATGTCCAGCTTCTTGCGGTCGCTGCACGAGGCGGAGGAGAACCGCGCGCGCGAGGGCGCCATGGACGCCGAGGTTGTCAGCTCCGGAGCCACATCTGAGACCGCTGCTGAGATGGCTGGCGGCGCTGGGCCGGAGGCTACAGGCGACGCTGCGCACGAGGGGGTGGACGACGACGAGTTCACGAACCACATCCTCGGACTGTCGCACGCGGAGCGGGAGGCCTTCGCCAGCCAGCTCGTCGCCCAGGGCATGCCGGTCCCGGGCTGGCTGCGACACAGCCTGGTGGCAGGGGCCGCCCTCCAGGCGGCCGCGGTGCGTGCGGCATCTGTCACGTGCAAGGGCAAGGGCAAAGACGACAGTCCGACCAATGGCTTCACCCCTATGTGAGCCCGCGGTCGCGGTCCCCGGCAGCCCTCCGGCCGCCCCTGTGGATGCCCAGGCGGCGGCGGCGGCGGAGGCGCCCCCCGCGTTCGTTCCAGCTGGAGCCTTCGAGGGGCAGAGGTCTGGATATTACTTTTCCGCAGGCTGTGATGGCCTCGGATACTACCTGGATCGCGGCGGCCGGCCCTTGGCTACGCGGCCGGCTAGCGATGGCGACCGACTGCGGGCACGTGCTGCGGCGGCCGCCACGGTTCAGCGGCCCGCCGCTGTGCTCGATGAGGGCTTTGGGCCGCGTGTGCTGCGCCTCGCTGACCATCTGCCCCGGCCCTGTGTGGGCGGCGCGCGCCGCGGGCAGCGGCGCCCCTCGGGCTTCTGCTCGATCGTCACGGTGAATGTCACGGGATGGGGTTCGCTGTTGCGCGAGCTGGAGCGTGGAGTGGTGGAAGCTGACGTGGTGGCCATCCAGGAGCACCACCTGGACGATCCGAACTGCCTGATCGCAAAGCGAGCGGCGTGGCGATGCGGCTGGAAGGCCGACTTCGCCCCAGCACGCCGTACGGCGGCGGGCGGCACCACAGGCGGGGTGGCCATCCTGGTAAAACCCTGGATTGGGTTACGCCGCGCGGAGCTCCCGAATGAGTGGGTCAAGGTGCCCTTCACGGAGCGCATGGCGTTCTGGCAGGTCGCTTCAGGCCCCCCAGCGGGTTTCGTGCTCGGTTCCCTCTACTTGCACACCGGGGGCGGCATGGGCGAGCAGAATCTCGAGAGGCTCTCCGAAGTGGGCGCAGCCGTGCGGGCCCTGGGCCGGCCTTTCATCCTCGCTGGGGATTTCCAGTTCGAGCCATCCTGCCTCGACCAAACCCGGTGGTTGACCGCGATTCAGGGGACCGTCGTGTCTTCGGGGCGGCCTACATGTTTCGGTGCGGCCTCGGCCAATGAGTTGGATTTTTTCGTCACCTCGCGGGGCCTCTCGGCGACCTCGGTCACAGTAGTGGACGACATTATGGTCTGGCCTCACCGGGCCGTGCGCATGGCTTTCCAGGCCGCCACGGCTGACGAGCGCGTGTCGGTGTTGCGCAAGGCTCGGGCGTTCCCATCACAGCCGCTGATCGGCCCGTGCCCGGAGCCCTTGGATTGGACAGTGCTCCAGGAGGAGGCCGAAGGCATCGACAACACGGCTGGTCTGGACGCGGCGTGTGGCCGGTGGCTGGGGCAGTACGAGCAGGACCTGACCCGGCACTTCGGCCTCCAGGAGCAGCGACGCCTCCATGAGGGCCGCGCCCAGGGCCCGCGAGTGGCCAAGGTGCCGCTCTCGCAGGCAAGACGGACATGGCACAACGTCGCGCGGCCCACGGCCTGCGACAGCTACTGGGGCTGGCTGCGCGACCGAGTGATTGAGTGGCGGCACCTCCGCCACCTGGGCACGCCTGCTGCGCGGCGGCACTCGCGGGCCCTGTACATTGCCATGCAGCGGTTCACGCTGCCGATGGCGGCCAAGCCTGGGTTCTGGTCGACCTGGCGGTCTCGAGTGCGGCAGCTTCCCACCATGGCCGCCGACGACGTCGCGGACCTCGTCGACAGGATTTCGGTCGAGGCCACGCGCGGCGACTCAGAGTCGGCGCGCGCCCGATACAAAAGCTGGCTCGACTGGACCAGGACGGCCACCGACGTGCAGGGCGGCCGTAAGGCTTTCCGGTGGATCAAGGACGAGGCCACTTGGGCTGCCTCATCCTTGTCGGGCAAGGGCCTGGCCGAGGAGGCACGGGCAGAGAGTGAGCCTTGGCATGCGCTGTGGTCGGCTGGGCCAGGCGAGGCCGGCTGCGATTGGGACAACATGGGCGACCTCCCGGGGCCGTTGCCGTCAGTGTTCGACATCATCAAAGCTTCCGGCACCTTCCAGCACGGCACGGGGCTTGGCGGCGACGCGGTCCACCCGCGTCACTTGGCCATGCTCCCGGAGGCCGCGGTGGCTGCCCTAATAGGCATCTGGGGGGCCATGCTGCGGTTGGCTCACATCCCCAGCGCCCTCCGCGTGCTGCAGGAGGTCCTGCTGCCCAAGGACAGCGGTGGCAAGCGCACCATCGGCCTCTTCCCGGGCACGCTGCGGCCTTTCACGCGCTGGTGCCGCAGCACGCTCGGGGCCCAGTGGGCGTCGAGCCACTCGCGGCCCTATGTTTACGGCGTGGCGCACAAGTCCTGCGACATGGCCGTGTGGCTGCAGGGCGCTGCTGCGGAGTGGGCGGTGTCCCGAGGGTGGCAGGCCTGCTCGGTGCTCCTGGACCTGAGCAAGGCATACGAGTGGCTCCAGTGGGGCGTCTTGGCTCGACACGCCCGGCGACTCCGATTTCCGTTGCGGTTGCTTCGGCTACTCATCAAGTTGTACGGCATGCCCCGGTATCTCAGCCACGACGGTGCCATTTTGGGTGAGTGCCTGCCGGGCAAAGGCGTGGTGGCGGGGTGCAGCTTCGCCGACCTCCTCATGCGCCTGTACCTCATGCCTCTCGTGGACCTCGTGCTGGAGCGGGTCGACGACGTCGAGGTCGCCAACGTGGTGGACGACCTGCAGCTCCAGGCGGTGGGTTTGCCAGAGCGCCTCACGCGCGCGCTGGCGGATGCTTACCGCCTGCTCCGAGAGCAGCTCACCTTGCACGGCCTGGTGGTGCAGGGCGCCAAAACTGCCGTGGTGGCCAGCTCGGCGGAGGCATCCAACCTGTTGCTGCGTCGGTGTCCTTCGCTTCGAGGGCGCGTGCGCCACACCGCTCGCAACTTGGGCGTCGACTACGCTTGCGGGAAGCGAGCCTGTGGCCATGTCCGTACAGCCCGACTGGCCAAGGCAAGGCGGCGCGCGGGCAGGATCCGAGTGATCCGCAAGGGGCGTGGGCGGTGCAGGGCGCTGGTCTCCATGGGACTCGTGCCTGTGGGCACCTACGGCGACGGCGGGACTGGCCGGGCGTGGTCCCGCATCGAACCTCTGCGCAGGGCGGCCCACCTGGCCTTGTACCCGCGAGTGCACGGCAGGTCAGCCACCATGGACCTTGCCATCCAGGCTGCGCCGCACACGGTCGACCCCGCCTACGCCTGCACGGTGGGGCCGATCGGCAATTTCGCGAGGGCGGTCTGGGACATGTGGCTGCCGCGTGAGTGGCTGACCAAGCTAGCCTACGCAGCCGATGCGACGTTCGCATCCAGCGCGGACGGCAAGGATTGGCAGCTGGTCAAAGGCCCGGTGGGCGCCGCGGTGGCGTCGGCCAGGCGGATTGGCTGGGCGGTGCTTAGCACGCCGTGCACCTTCCGCTCCGACGACGGCTTTCAAATCAACCTCACGGAGTTGTGCCCCAAGACGGTCATAGTGCTTGCGCAGCGCTCCATGCAGCGGTGGCTGCTTCAGCGTGCGGTCGCCCGGCACCC